CATTCTTCCGCCATTTTCTACCCTTAGAACCACTTCTTTCTTCCTGGTGGAGCCCTTCAGCAGCTTTCTTCAGGTCTCTTGCTTTTTTTCCTAATTCTGTTGCTTCCTGCAGGATACAAAACATCACTTAATTTGATAGAAAATAGCAAGTCAATTGCATCAAAATCGTAACTAATGTGCATTATAAAAAACTAAAAAGCACCTTGATATATTGTGAGCGAGTGATTACAGCCTTTGGACGCCTAACGAATGAGAAAATGAGGCCCAAGGGCAGGCAAGCAATGCCAACACCCCCGAATATCTAATGGGAAAAAAATGAGATCAGCATAACGTCTATTGATTACGGTGAAATTGAACAGTAGGCAAAAACTATTAGTAGATGAAATAGTAATAAATTGATAAAAACCAAAATTTTGCTTCATGGGAATAATACACTAATGATCTTTAAATGCCAAGATGGGTCATATACATTAACTCTGCATGAAATCCAATGCCATACTTCCTAATGAATTCCAATTACCAAACAGACCAATAGGCATAAGGAGAAGGGCAGAGTACATGTATTTAAATTGTTCATTATTTCACTGTTTTGTTAAAGATGGAGATCCAGAGTTTTCCTCAATTCCCATGAATGAACTTACAGAGAATAGTACGGATCCAACAATAGTGGCAAGGGCAACAACATATTCTGGAAAAGTAGTACGCATTGTCCATGTTTTCTCTGATGAAGCATTTGCCGTATATGCAGAACACTACAGCACAAGGAAAAATTTTAGTCATGTAAACGTTAATTCGATAAAAACATAAAGATCCATAATTAGAAACTGACAATAGAAGACTATATAGAACCATATATGACATGTAAAATTGCCAATCAAAAGTATAACCTGGTGGGCACCAGTTCCAATGCACGGTTGACCACTAGAGAACTGCCAGGAACTAGGAAAATTAGTAGTGCTTGAAGAGAGATGCATAACGGTGAAGTCGACTTCTCCAACAAGCCCTGATAGATATACCAGCAAAGTTTATGAATTATGGCAAATTTCAACCTAAAATTAGGGCTTAAAGGGAAATGAGAAATTATTATGATACACATGTACACCAATAGAAAGAACATTTGGAATATATTACAGTAAAAGAGCCATAAGATAGTCAATTAATCATTTGGTTGTTTTTGAGGAGAAATGAGGATGTAGTTAAAGAAAGAGATGGAATCATATTTCAAGCTTGCATAGTTAACATGTGAGAAAGAAGCTCAATTAATTAGAGAGCAGCCAAGAAATGAGCGAAAACTAAGCGAGGTCATTGTTGCCTTCGACTTTATAATCGCCATAACATTCTTCAGATGGATACAACTAAAAACCAAATATAAGACCATAAAAACCACAAGAATGAGCATAAGAGCTTACCGTATAAAATTCCCAACAGGAGACCACAGACAATGGCCATTACCACAACCCATATCAACGCGCTTTTCATCCTTTTGCCAATGCTCCTTCACAAAGTTAAAACGAAAAAAACAAAAACCCACAATTAATAAACAGAATTTTACAGGAAAGACTCAAATTCTAAGCAATTACTTGTCCTGGTCTCCTTCGTAGTAGAACATGGCAAAAGGAATAACGAAGAAGACGAGCACAGCATCGACAATATAGACAGCGAGCCATAGATCCTTCATAGGTAACGTGAGGTTACAAGCGCCATTATACAAAGCGTGCTTGCAGGCCTGCCGGTTAGCGACGTCGGCGGGTAACATCAAAATGGAGATCAACGCAACGGTCAGGCCGAAAACGACGACAAATTTAGGAAAATACGCCTGATTCTTGTCATCGGGGTGCTGGTAATTAACCAGAAGGTACACATTGAAGATGAAGACGATTACACAGACGACTATAGCGACGATTACGAGAGCGAGATTGAAATCGCCCATCGTTTACGAGCTCCCGATTCGAAACCAGTACGAATTCGAATCGAAGAGATCAAGAAAAATAATCAATCGGGCGTCGTCTTCTCCGCCTTCGAAATTCAAAATGGATCTGGCTCGTCTCGGCGAAATTGGGGAAAGCGAGAGGGAAAGGGGAAATAGGGTTGGATTCCGAAATTCCGATGACATTGTTTGTTGAGAAGCGAGTCGTGGGGTGGCGTTTGACGTGTGGAGGGGGAAATGACGAGTTTGTCCTTGGGAGAAATGATGAATTTAGAATCGGACAGAGTTTACAACGAGGAGCGTGTGGGTATTAAGGTAAAATTCAATATTTGGTCGGACAGAGATAAACGTCCCGTCAGAGTTTCTGTTTTCTCACCAGGGAAGGGACATGGGGACGGTTTCTACTGCGCAAGCGGCGTAGTAATATGGCCTCTGATGACGTGGCAATTCCCGCAGCTGTAGGCCTATTGTCTTTTTAATATGATTTAGTCTTTAATAATCTTCGTTATTTCAAATTTTTTAATTTAGTGCTTTATATTTTTTACATTTTTAAATTATACGAAGGTAGACGTTAAAATCTAACATTTTTAAATTGTACGCAGATAGACGTTAAAATCGACCGGTGATAAGTTTATAGGCTCATAATTTTTTTAACTATGCCAAAAATATAATATATAAGTTGATTTAAATTTAGATGCAGAATTAGACAATTGAAGAAAGTAATTGTTGAAATTTGTTCACAGTTATAAATTTGAAGTATGTATTATAAATTTTTTTTTTTTTTACTTTTTAGGTACAGTAGGTGTGGGTAGAGAATCAAACTCACAACCTCGTTGCTGGGGATATATTTCAATTACCGCTGAGCTGCTCACTTTTGCTTTTCTTTCTCGGATGGCCTAATTCTCATTTAAAATTTTATTTCAATTGTTGAATATTATGCCATTTAAGTTTTGTCGGCATTTAATTTTAATATTTGGTGACAAAATGAATATATAATTTAAATATATATATATATTAATACAACAAGTGGGTACGAGGATTCGAACTTAAAATCTTTTGTTCAAAAATACGTGTCAATTACCGCTGAATTAAGCTCATATTGACAACAAATAAAAAAACATTCAAATATCGAAGATTAAAATATATATTTAGCAAGTAAATATATTGAATTATATTTTTATATAATTAAATTCGCATTACTCTACCGTCTACCTTGAACGAACAAAATTAAGAGTATATTTGAGAGTGATGATAGAATGAGTTATTTTGAAAAAAAATAAGAATAATTGATTTTAAAATCACAAAGTATACTTAAAAATCAATTTTAAGTGATTTTATTTTTTCTTAAAATCAATTTATTAATTTGTCAAACGATAGTGGAAATGAAAGTGATTTTGACAAGAGTAAAAGTGATTTTATCATACCAAAATCACTCCTAAACATACCCTACAAGGGGAGGGATAAATAAAGTCAAACAATAAAAAGTTGCTGAATATGAAAATTCACTGCTACAAATCCAAGTTTTAATGTCGAACAAAAAAAACGGAGAAAATAATGTCGGACAAAAAAACACGAAGTAATTTATTCTCTAAATTATTAATTTGGTCCCTAATAAATTGGATTTAATTTAGGACCCTAAAAATTTCGAAGTCTCATTGTCGTGGTTTCATTACAACTTCACAAATCACCATTCTCACTGTTGTGACTTTTTTAGCAAAGGGAAGACTTTATTAGCAAGTAACAACACTGCAATGGGTTACATATGAATTAGAACCTCCGCTGACCGGATGTAAACACCAAGTGGAAAAATACCTATCCTAAAGGAAAGACAAAATGAGAAGCTCGTTTGGCCAAAATATCAGCCTGGATATTTCGGTTGCGACCAACATGAACAAATTGAAACTCTTACCCAACTCGAAAATATCTGCCACCGACTAATCTTCCTCCTTCCGAGACAACACCTTCCCATTCACGAACTGAACAGCCTCCAAACAATTCGACAAAAATCACCAAATTCATTGCAAGCCATTAGTGTATTATTTTGAATGCGAGTTAATGAACTCATTTTTGCGTTAGCTGGTCAATATTATAGTTTAAGATTTAGTAGAAAATATGTCAAAAACATAGCTTAATTGGTTAGAGACAATAGCTTGTCTCCGACTAAAAAGTAGTTCGAATCTCTAACTCCACGTAGTGGGAAAAAAAGGATTTTGTAAAAAATATGGTTAAATAAATGGTTGTTTGGCAGATAAACAACGACCGATGAGGTTTAATCGATGAACCAAATTCAAAGTTTTAAAACCGTGGAACCAAATTTTAACTAAGACGAAACCTTGAAGACCTTGTTTGGTAATTTTTATCCTATATTTTATGCACGAGAATAAATGAGAAATGAGTTTAGGGCAGCACTCTTGAATAAATAATTTACTTTTAGATTTTTATTTTCTCATCTTCATTTATGACTAATATAACGTTGCTCTTAAGCTTCGTTTACTTGCTGAGGCAAACATCACTTAAACTAATCAACGTCTTAGTAATTTTTAATAGATTATAGATTCAAATATTATACGACAATTGTCTAAAAATGTTACAGATTAAAATAAGACACAACAAAGGAAAATTAACCATATATAATATAAAACTTTAGAATATATTTTTATGAAAAAAAAAACTATGGAATCAAAATAAATTTATAATATAGTATTTGATCAATATTTACAGTATAGTACTAAAAAAATTACCATATAAGTGGGAGGAGAGATTTAAACTTTTGACCACGGAAAAATAAAACGTAAAATACTTTATGGTATATTTGGGAGTGATGTAGAATGAACGATTTTGAAAAAAGAGATTTAAGTATAATTACTTTTTCAAGATCATCATTGAAGTGATACTTTAAAAATCAATTTAAAATGATTTTAAGTTTTTCTACGATTAATTTTATATTTTGCCAAACATGATAAATGAAATAGAAGTGATTTTGACGAAAACAAAAGTGATTTTTGCCATGCCAAAACAAACTCCACAGCCTCTCCAATTTGGCAGTTGTTTCTAATTTTGATTGAAGTAATCTATTTCCGAAGATACCATCTTTTTCCTTTCTTCATTTTATTATCGTGATTTTTACTCTAATTTTTATTTTATCACCCACGGCACATAATGCAACTGGATCATGAACATTTTCAAGTTTNAACCCTCAAATATTTTTTTTTTTTTGAGTTTAATAAATACATGATAAGAGATCAAACAATAATCAACCATCTAGAAAATGTGACAATGTTTGATCGAGTTGACTATTATCTGATATAACATAATATTAACTAGTTTGTCATAACTAACTAGTTTATTACATTCGTCTTCCCAATAAATATGAGGTGGGAGATTAAACATTATAAGGTAATAAGTGTATTGTTCACTTAACTATAGTACTAGAATTTTGGATTTTTGTGACGCTCGAGAACGCGTCACGAAAGAAAAGAAACACAGTGTTAATTTGATTATGAACTATAAAACAGTTTCTTACTCTCTTTCGTACTCCGCATATCTCGTAAACGAATTGTTTTTTCCTTAAAACTCTGTGGAATAGTTAAGTTTCTTCTATCATGGTAAATTCACCTAATTTAACAAATCTAAGTTTTGAACCTTTTTGTGCTTTGAAGGGAAACTTTTCATTTAGAGTAGGGGCAAATTGATGCGAATTATTTTCACATGATAGATGCATGTGATAGACGTAATTACGAATAAACCATCAATTTTGTTGAATTAAAACAACAAAATTGTAGATTTCAAAAAGTAACTATATCATATCAATTTGAAAGTAGTTGTTAGGCTCTAAATAATATAAAATGCTGATGAATTATAAGAGTTTGGTTTCAATTATACATTTCTTAAAGTTTCATTTTAACCTCAAATCTTATTTTAAAATGTCTTAAAAAAACTCATTCATTGTGATCACCTACCATGATATGCATTCACACAATAGTGTACGATCATCTTCTCCTATAGGATGACTTGCACGGGAAAAACTTGACTCCTTAATCCTAAGGAGAAACTTCATTCTTAACACCATTAAATATTTGACCATTAAAAAAAGAAATGCAATATATATATATATTGAGTTGTGGACTTCAAAGGAGTCAAATTTTTTCCGAGTTGCATCTATTGTTCAATACTTTTCAATTCCTAGCCTTTAATTTTGATAAATTGGGTTGTGAGAGGTATGAAAAAAAGTAAAGAAAAATAATAGTTATCGATTATATTTTTTTTCTCTTGACATCCTAAACATCTAAACTAGATCTCAAGATCAAGAGTTAAAAGAATAAAAATTTGAAATAACGATAAAATGACACAATTCAAACTAACTTCATAATTCTCAATCTAGGTCAATGACATTCTATATAATTTAACTTTTGTTTTCACGTAAAAAAACATTATTTGACTTTGAATCCGACTCACTTACCGCGGTCAAAATGATTTTTAGGTAGATTGAAAATATATGATATCCGCAAGCTAGCTTCATTTGGCGAAACGCCTTTTGTGCATGTCCAGCTTGTATGGCTTCTCAAGTCCCCCATCTGGCTCTTGCACGTAGCCCATGGGCAACTCAATTCCAGGAATGAAGTTTGTTTTAAATCAAGAAAAAAAAAAGAGAAAAGAAAAAACTTAATTTGAGAAGATGGTATTTAAAACGACTCTGTAAATATATTAGCACTGTAGAGTGTAGTCTTATACGGCTCATATTTTACGTACAAATATATTAGCACGGGATAAATAAAATTAAATAAATAAATAAAAACTGTGGGTGGGGCGAAGTCAGTAAAAATGATTCAACGTGACAGCTGTCTTCTTAATTTCGATCCACATTATATAATCTATCTCGTACATCTAACAAACAAAACAATAAAATAAAATAAAAAATCACCCAGAGCCCCAAGTCAGGTGAGGAGCACGTGCCTTTCTGGATCTCAGCTAAGTATATATATATTTGAATTGTTGAAGCTATATTTTGAGGTTAGCCCGAATCTTATACCAACCTTTCTTGCAGGCTCCGACGAT